AAACCACAGAAAATCTTAAAAAATTACTTCTATTTTGTTGTTGTTGTTTTTCAGGCTACTTAAATCCTAAATGTTGTGCAGTAGGAAAGAAAAGGAGATAATGCTTATCTATTGTCTGCTCTGTGCCAAGTATCAGGCTTTCACATATTATCATTTAACCATGAAACAGCACGATCAGGAGTTATTATCGCCTTCATTTACAGAAGAAGAAACCATGAGTTGGTATAGTTCATTGACTTGTCCAAAGTTACAAAACTAAAAAGTTGTAGAGCCAAGGATGGACCAAGCTGGGTCTTCTCTGTTCTCAATTCCAGCTGTTACCAGGATATCCCATTGTGCTGAAAACAAAAATTGGGTGATGATGACAACTTTGAATGGCCCTATCACACTCTGAGTGTGTGTGGCATCTACAAATCTTCTACTGCTTTTTCTTTTCATAGCTCAGATCCTGGCACAGGGACAGTTGTTTGTGTAGCACAATTGTTATTATTGTGCAGCTTCACATATTCTTTCTGTCCTGGGCAAAAATGAACAATAATGGGCTATATTTATAAAACCAGCAGTTTGGAAGCATGAGCTCTGGATTACCATTACAATTGTAATACAGTTTATGTTTTTTTAAGCTTAGCACTATTTATGTGGAAAGCACTTTTCAAAGAATCATGCAAATAAACTGGTTCTTTGTGTATTCAGAGAGTTCCTCACAGTTTTTTCCCCCATAGTTTCAATCAATCATTCTGTACTTCTCAACTTTATAAATGCTGACATCACAGATGTGTAGTGTTCATGAAGAGCTGATATGACAATTGCCTGTAAAAGTTGGAGAAGAAATAAAAGTAATTGTGATTTCCTTTAAGGGTAGGTTGGGGAGGGAGAGGAGGACAAGAATAGGATAAGAAAGATAACTGATAACAAAGCTGTTTGTCATTTGAGATCTCTTCAGACTCATCCCAGGTTTAAATTATAAACCTAGAGCCTCATCTTCAGTCTTCCTCATTCAAAAGCACCATTTTATGAAGTCTTCTTAGGGGTGGTTAATTTCTGCAGAACATCAGCAATGCCCTATTAAAAAGCAGATTTGAATTAGAACACCTATGTGTAATTCCCTGCCCTGTCATTATGAATTTAAACAAATTCCTCTTCTGTAAAACAAGATAAAGAACAATTCCTATAAGTCTGTTGTGAAAATTACATAATGCACATGAAAGCAGCAATTGTTGGTTATTCATAATATCCAGATTTAAGTTCTCAGACACAATTTTATATATTTGGGGAGCATTTACTTTTCCAATAACATTAATTCATGTGTCAACTATTTAAGGCAACCCACACCCTCTTCTTGTAACTAATACATCTGCAAACCCAACTTAGGGTTGGCCCGAGGGGTAAATAATTATTACTTATTGAGCATCTAATTGAGGCCAGGCTCATTCATAGGCCATTTATTGATCTCTAATTTTTATGCTATTCTTACAAAGTAGGTATTATTGTCTCCAAAGTACATGAGGAATATGAGGCTTAGTCTACAGACATTAAGTTGCCCTAGAAAAACCAGATCATTTTTGTCCGCCCTATGCAGTTCATTCTTGTTACCATGAATTAGTTCATAACATATCTTCCATTAGCTAGATTTTATTCTCCTAAAATAGATTTGGAATGTGACCCAGTGCTTTGATGAGATCTGGGACATACATTTGCTAATTGTCATTGGTATGTCATTAAAAAAAAATTCCACTCTCTGACATTCTGGGTCTGTTTTGGAAGTGTGGCCCATCACTCCATCCCTATAGGCTTGTTTCCATCTCCTACTACATGTCAAGTTATTAACTGAAACATTACCCAGGAGTGATGAAAGAAGCCACTACAAGTCATTGGTGCTCTGGAAGAGGCCTGGAGCAATTCCCATATAATGACTTTAACCTAGTCTTCCCTTCCTGGGTGATCTGGTTCTTTCCATTTTTAAAAGCAAAGACTTAAACCTGCTTGCAGTGGCCCTTACTTAAACAAATCACTTATAAAATACAGTATTTGTTCCTTGGTTTTTCTTATCTGTGAAATAGGGATAAAGTGAAGATACAAATAACTACACCTGAGATTATGTGTTTAGTTCAGTTCAACAAACTTTTATAACATACCTATTAGATATCAGGAGTTGTGCTAGATTTTGTAAGCAAAGACATTTATAAACTATGAAAAGCAGTACTGTATAAATGCAAGATATAATTTTTGACTTAATATGAATCACATGAAAATTATAATAATAGTCCTTTACATTGCCTTAATATTTTCTACACTGATTTGCTAATTTTCACGAAGGAGAAAGGTTTATGCAGGAGGCTCAAAAGATGAGTTAAATGGTTTGCCTGAGGTCATACACTAAATGACTTCAATATTCTTTTTACTAACCTATATTGCCTTTATCAGAAACTATACATTAGGGATTCTACCCTATTCATCCAACAGTAATATCTTGGGATCTCAGATGGTTTGGAGGAGTTATTGAATTTGAATAGCAAGTGAAATTGTACTTAATTTGCTCAATGACTTTCAGATTTTTTTCAGGTACTGGGGTTTGAATTCAGGGCCTATACCTTGAGCCACTCTGCCAGCCCTTTTTTGTGATGGGTTTTTTCAAGCTAACTATTTGCCTGGGCTGATCTCTGCCTCTTGAGTAGCTAGGATTATAGGTGTGAGCACTGGTGCTCAGCTGACTTCAGATTTTTAAACTTGTGTATCTACAACCATAGGCATTTTCACATGTTACTTCACAACAGCCCTAAGTCATATAACTGGTAAATGGTAGAGGTAGGATTGGAACCTTGATATTTCTGATGTCTGAACCCTGTTCATTTTACAATACAAAACTGCTTTGGTTATTATTCATATAAACTAGGGCCAATCACTTAACCTCTGTGACACCAAGTTACCTCATTTGTAAAGTAAAAGTAATGATTACTTCCTTTTAGAGTTGTGAGGCTCAAATGTGATAATGTAAGATAGAAAACTTCAATAGAAACACCAGTTATTGTTACAGCTGATAAATGTACCAAAGTGGAATAATTGAAAATAGTATTTCTTCTCCCTTGAGTTAAAAAGAATAACAGCAAAAAGGAGGTCAAGGGAGACTCTCCTGATAAATGGTTGTTCACCAGACCTGTATTACTTGCTGTTTGAGGCTGGACCTTGTCAGAGGTGCTTGAGTAGAGTTAAGAGCTCCTAGAGGAATTTCTGGGTTTTGCTTGTGGTGGAAAAAGTCTAAAAACTGAAGTAGGGCTAACTACATCCTGGGTCTTGATCAGTTGTCTTTCCTAATGTGTCACATGAGGACTGCTATGACAATGGTACCTGGCAGTGGGCCTGATAAGAGCTGTGGTTACCATTACCACTAGGTGTTGTCTGGAAAGCCACTCTAACTGAGAAAGGAAAATCAATCCTGGGCAAAAATATATTGAAGTGATAACCTTATTGTGTGCTGGGCTAAACTGAAGGAGATGTAGTAATAAGTCATTTGCTTGTCCTCAAGGATTTTACAGTTCGGTGAGGTGCTAATAGGCCCTTAACTAACTTTTTTTTTTGCCAGGACTGAGGTTTGAACTCTGGACCTCATGCTTGCTAGGCAGGTGCTCTATCACTTGAGCCACCCAGCCAGCCCTTTTTTGTGTTGGATATTTTTGAGATAGAGTCTCTGGAAGTGTTTGGCCAGGTTGGCCTCAAACAGATATCCTCCTGGTCTCTGCCTCCTGAGTAGCTAGATTATAGGTGTAAGTCTCCAGCACCTAGGTCTCAACTAACTCTGGCTACATACAATAAAGGTCACATTAGAGCGACTAAGAGGTAAGGTACAGATTTCCTCGAAGGTTTCTAGAAATAGATGGCATATAAACTGAGCCTCTGCAGATGAGAATTTCAAGTAACTGGTTAGGAATTCCAATTTAGGGTGGCACATGAGAAAGTGTAGGCTGTGTTACATTTAATATATGTAGGAGCTAAAGACTTTATTGAACACTTATTACAATGCAAAAGTCTGAGAATATAGAAATATATAAAGAGCAGTATTTGTCATTTGAGTTCTTACTCTAGAGGCAGAGATAGATGTAAACAGTCATTAGAGGGATGATGACTTCATAAGGTGGAGAAGAAAGGTTAAAAAAGGTAGTTTATACCTGATTTGGTGAGGAGAGAAGATACTTTGAGAAGAAAGTATACCTATGTCCAGAGAAAAGAGGAAGAGTTTGGGATGAACCCGGGGCCTTGTGAATGTAGTATACCACTGAGCTACACCCCAACCCTCACCAGTGCTTTTATTGAACAATCTAAGTGGGACAGGTAGCAGGGGAGGAAAATACTTTTTTCTTCTCCCAAGTAGATTTGAATCTACAAGGAAATGACTTAAAACCTTTCTTTTTCAATATAGAAGATGGGAAGGTTTTGGAATCAGAATGGGATATTAATCCAGCTATCTTATCAGCTGTATGATTTATGATAAGACACATTTTTGTGTCATCTTCCTCATTTCCTTATTTCTGTTTCAGTTCCTTCTTCACACAATTCAAAAATGAAGCATTTAGTACAGAGGCTGGAGTATATATAAAGTACTACTATCATTTATTATTTAGGATCATCTCATTTAGTCCTTAAAAACCACCTGGACCTTAGGTATAATTTCCCCCACTTGCAGACGCTCAGAGTAAGGTGACCTACCTTAAGTTTACATGAGACTCTGTAGCCGCCTCAGTAGCCAGTCCGTTTTTATATCCGCGCCGGGTTTTTCCAGGCGGCCCGGGCCAGCCCCTGATCCGGCCGCTCAAACTCCGGCGCCAGGGTTTGTGTGCCGCCCTGGCCTGCTCCGGCTGTGGGCGGGCTGGGCCGTCGGGGAGGGGCGGGGCGTCGGGATGGGGCGGGGCCGGGCGGCGTGAGGAGGGAAGTTGTCGAAGTTCGGGAGACGCCCGCCCGCCCGCCCTCCCGCCGGGCCTCGCCTACGGCCTTTCCCTCCGCCTCCTCCCCGCCCCGAGCCCCCGTCCGCCCGTCCTTCCTTCCCCTCCCATGCATGATGGAAACACCATGGCTGCGGCAGCCCAGCTCTCCCTGACACAGGTAACACTGCCTGCCCATCCGCCGGGCTCGGCAGGCCGGTGCCCCCGGCCCCTCCCCCACCGCTCTCAGCTTCCAGCACCGGGCGGCTGCTCACGGGCTGGGCGACTGGCGTGTCCCAGCGAGTGTGGAGTGTGTGTGTGTGACTGAGGGAGGGCGCCATCCCCAGCCGGAGCTCGGCCGCCGCGACCCCGCCCCGCGCGGCTCCCACCCCCTCCGCGGCGAGTGGCCTGGGTACCCTGCGGCTCTCAGCCGGTACCCGGCCGCTGGGTCCGGGCAGTCCTCACCCGCCTGCCCGCCCAGGAAGTTCCTCCTCCCAGGCCAGACGCCTGCCAGGTGAGCTCCTGTTGAGCTCACGCGGGTCAGACTCACCTCCGGGTGGCACGAGGCTCGCCCAGGGGCCAGGCAGAGTGGCCTCTCTAGTGGGACGCGCAGGGCCCCTCGGCAGCCTAGACCCTCGCTCGAAGCCGGCCTTTGCCCGCTGGAGTCCGACGGAAGCGCCCCCTTCCCCTAGTTCCCGTGTACCAGGCTCGTTTCGCTTCCCAAGTCAGGTCTCATCCTACCAAGTCCCCGCCTTGCTCGCCCTTCTTGAATTTAGGAGTGTATCCGCTTCCCTCCCGGTCAGGTTCCCTCTGGGTGAGAGCTCCGATTTCAGACTTCCCACCCAAGTCTTCTCCACTTCCACCTAATCGAAGCGGATAACAGGGAAGCATCCTTCAGCAGGTGTGGCCTTTCGGCGCGTCTTGGTGCTGGGAACGACCGAGGACATCACTTTGTCCTGGGTGAATTTTCACCAAAACCCGTTCTCGAGGTCTTTGCTCTTGTTCTGTTGCTTCTTTCTGAGTCCAGTGCTTGTGCTTCCCAGAAAACCTCTAAACATTCACTTTGGGAGCCTGGTTCCTTCTCTGTAAAGATAGCTTATTGTGATCTTCCTAGCATGTCCGCAGGATGGTGAAGTCACACACACGCACACACACACACACACACACACGCACGCACGCACGCACGCCCCTTCAGTTCCTCTGACCAAAACTCTCCCAACCTCACCTCCTCAGCCGGTTTTCTCAGAGATGGTGGTTGGGTACTCCTGGACTTGGGCCCACCTCAGCCCTCCTGCCTGTCTTATGACATTCCCCTGCCATCTTGTCTCCTTGGCCTAGATTTGCGGGTGCTTAGGCTAAGGCTTTAACATTGGGGAAGGGCATGTATTTGGGCAGCACTCCGAGGTAGACTGAAAGTGTTTTTTTTCCCCAGGAAAAAAGTCTTTTCCCCTGTATGTGTTTGTATACATACATATACACATTCACATATATGCCTCAGGTAAAATAACTAACTTCAGTTTGAAGGAATTGTAAGTCTCACAAGTGAAGTATGCTTCCATATTTATTTGCTGTTGATTACCCTGTTTTTACCAGCAGATAACAGGGAGCTACCTTTAACATGGAATGTAGTCTTTTGGTTGTGGTCAGGAATCTGTTAGGAAGGGTCCTTCTGAAACAAATTAGGGGAATGGAACACTGACTTTGGGTGTTCACTTTCTGTGAGTCTAGTTTAGTGGACTTGCATTAAACAAGATCCCTGTTGAACAGCAGGCTGCTGTTTTCTGACTCTGCTGGCTATTTCTGGCAGGAGTTTTCCTTTCTTAAAGATACTGTTCTCTTGAAGACCTCTGTAGAATTGATCTTCTGTTGTGTACATACTTTATTTTCTCCCTGGGTAATACTGTGTTTTTAGTTTTTGTTTACTGTCATTCATCTCTAGAGATTTGCTTCAGGCTCTGACAGTTTTATAGTCACTTAAATAATTTGAATATGTTCTTGTGGTTATATATTTAGGTATTAACATGTATATAGAGTAATGTAGGCGATATTATCCTTAAGTGTCTCTTTTTTGAGCTAATGGACATCCAGCTAATTTATATCGATAATTCAAATAAGTCAATTTAGGATATTTTGATTTTTTCAGACACTTAAGAGTCAATTAAGATTACATTGTAAATCCAGGGGGAGAAACTGCCCAGTTTCTGCCCAGTTAATGTTTTCTAATGTGCTTCCTTCTTTCAAAACTTAGCAAATTTGTGGTTTATAGATTTTTAATTTTTTAACTGCTTGAGCCTAGTAAACTCACATAACCGTGCATCCTAGTTTCACATTCATTATTGATCTATTTATGTCACCTTCTGTTTTTCCTCTCCACTTACACACCTAGACAGAGGCATACTCAAGTGAGAGAGTCTTCAGGGTAGGGATTCTTCTTTTTTTTTTAATTGATTTTTTTTTTTAATTGGGGCGGGAAGGATGTGGGGCATTCATGGTGTGTATGAGGGAGATGGTCTGGCTGTGTTGCCCAGGCTAGCAAGTGATCCTCTTGCCTCTGCTTTCCAAGTAGCTGGGATTACAAGCTTGTACCACAGTATCTCCCCCCGCCTCCATTTTTAAAATCATATCTCTCCCTTATTGCTAATGTCGCAGAAAGTGATTAATAACCATTGTGTGTATGACCAAAAATTTTAAAGAGCTCTGTGACAGTTATGAAGATTAAACAGACGCTAAAGTTAATTTTTGCTTCAGGTAATGAGATGAGGATGGTTTTGGAGCAGGTTCATTCGTGCACTCAACAAATACTTACAAAGTACCTATTAGGTGCAAGGCACTGTTCTGGGATTGTCATTGTAATTTTTTGGTCTTTATCAATTAAAAAAAACTGACAGTAGGTGGGAAATGTGAAAAATTCTTCAGTTTATGCCTTTTTCTTTCTCTGCCTGCCAACCAGTCCTCCAACTCTCCATCACCAAAATAAATGATTGAAATGATGACATAATACTAAATTAATGATAGCTTTGCCAACAGCTATGGCATTGGGCAGTCTCCAGGTCTCAAGTTTTCTTAATTTTAGAATTTATTAAACAAATATCCATTGTGCATTCACTACGTGCTAGGAATTATTCTAGCTACTGAGGCTATATTGATGAACAAAATAATAACAATTCCTAGAGCTTGGAGACAAAAACATGGAACTTAAATTCTAATAGGGGAGTTTGAATCAGCTAATCAAAGGATCTTTCCAACACTAGCATTCTGTTTAACTATAAATCATATCCTAGAATTTGTAGACTTTCTTGAGGTACTTTAGTGCTGTATAGCCTTAGTGTTTCTAATTTCAGTTGTTTTCACTAGATGTTCTGTTTTTTTCTTGCTATAAGAAGTAAAATTTGAGAAAGATTTTGATTTTTACTTAATTATGGTAGATTACAAAAAAGGTATATAATACTTTTAAAATTTTTCCAGTTGTCTACTTCTTTGAATATCTGTGTCTCCACTATTGTTATAAGATTACTGTTAGCTTCCCTTTGCTTGTTACTTTTTGCCAGGAATTTTACTTCACTTAATCTAACAATCCATCTTACAAAAGAAGGAAATAATTTATATAAACTAGTAAATGGAAGAGCTAAGCTTTGAGCTAAGATCTGTAGGACTAAAATCAGTCTCTTTTATTATACTTCCTTGTGTACTAGATGCTTGACATGTCCAGCGCTCACTGTATTTTTTATTTTTTTCTCAGTATGTGCTCTTTTGTCTTAGTTAGATAGTAAGCTAAATCTAGCTAGTAAACTAGTAAATCTAGGTAGTAAGTCTAGGTAGTAAGCTAAATCTAATTCTCCAAATCTCCGATGCCTTTGATGGTATCTTGTGGGTATGCTCTTGATTATGACATAGGTTTTATTTGATCAAACTGTGGTTTGATGAGTGCCTTAAATCTTCCAGTAGTTCAGTTTTATAATGATGTTTTCTTGTTTTAGTATAACAAGATCTTTTGGGGGTGGGGTGGGGTGCTTACTGGTCCTTGCACATGCTAGGCAAGTACTTTACTCTAGCCCTGGAATTTTTATTTATTTATTTATTTTTTGTGGTACTGGGGCTTGAACTCAGGGCCTACACCTTGAGCTACTCCACCAGCCCTTTTTTATGTTGGATATTTTCTAGATAGGGTCTCATGAACTATTTGCCCAGGCTGGTTTTGAACCGTGATCCTTCTGATCTCTGCCTCCTGAGTTGCTAGGATTATAGGCATGAGCCACTGGTGCCCCACCTAGGATTTTTTTTAAATAATAAGTTTTTAAATTGGGACTCAATTTTTAAAAATCCTAGTATATAATCTGAAAACAAATAGTACAAGAATGCTTTTTTTGTTTGTTTGAGACAGGGTCTCATATAGCCCAGACTGGCCTCCAATTCAAAATCTTCCTGTTTTAGCCCCTGAGTGCTGGGGTTAATGCTTTTTAAAAAATTGCAAGTGTGATCTAACTGCATTACAGAAAATTTAGAAATTGAAGGAAAAAGTCTCTCATAATTTCAATCTCTGGTTTACTTTTAAGTTTATTAAAAAGATAAACGTTGTGTGCTAATAACATACCACTTTAGTGATCTGATTTAACAATTAGGACAGTAAATACAGGACAGAGTTTGAAAATTACAGTATATTTTCAGAAGCAGAAAAAACACATTTTATACAGCCTGACAGATACTTGTGTTCCTGTTATGGAAAAGGTACATTAATTATATATTTCTTTTTTTTTGCCTATAATTATAATCTAGTATGCTCAGTAAATATCTGCTTACTAGAGAGATAAGTATTTTCAAAAATGGTTTGGAATGCTTAGCACTTGGGAGGGCTTGCCATAGTTAAAATTAATTAGGAACAGTTGGGTTTGTCCAGTAGTCTCCCAGGAATAATCGAAGAGTATATTCCTTTGTTTTTCCTCTATTTGCAGACCAAATGTTAGTAACGGACTAACGTAGTAGAAAAAGATTGAGCATTCTTTGCAATGAATCATAGTTGTCAATCTCTGCTACCTCTAGTAGTCTGGTTTTAAGGACTCAGTCTAGGGTATTCTACTTGGTTTTTCAAGGTAATACGAAAACACTTTATATACTTTTTTGTGAGTTTTGGGCTTAATAAAACTGTAACTCTGGAAATCAAAGTAAGAAATTGGCCTGACAGAG